GAGAAATATATTTTACCCTAGTGTTTCAACTGATTCAGTAGATACATTCCTGCTCTACAAGCCAGTGTGCTCGGTTTCCAAGGTGATTATTGGAATGAAGAACCGTAAAGGGCCAGGACCAATTGACATACCAACAGAATAATGGGAAATGAGGGATCGCGACAAAACGGAATTTGTGGCTCATACTATTTCTCAGTGCCGTCGTTGATCCAGGCCGGGCACCAAGCGAACGGGCCACGATATAATACTGCCAATATTTTTGAGAACAAAGAAGATGCTACTGTGTGATCCAACTACCATCCAATCCGCCTGTCATCGCATAGATGAAAACTTTGAGCGCATCTACGACCACGAACTAAGCGGCATGTTGACGTTTACCGGGAACCAGGGCGGTTTTGTGAAAGGCGCCGCAGCTGACGACGTGATCTTGGCCGCTCGCCTCCCACAGTGTGCCTGCTTTTATCAACAAAATCCGGACAAAATCCATCACCAGAGTCTATTGAATAGTTTCCCAGTAAACGTAAGCCTTTACCAAAATCGACGTTGTCGCTTTACTTTCCATTCTCGTTATAAACACGCTCATGCAGGACTTGCAAAATGTGACGCCGTGGACTCTGCTTTATGCTGACGATATCATTCTCACAGACGTCACAATGGAACTACGAGCCAGAAAATGCGGTGTGGACGCAATGGAAGGAGATCTTTGGAGCAGTGCGACATCCGTATGCCAGTTCGACTCAAATCGTAGATTTCCCGGCACAATGCCCTGTCCCGTCGCACTGTACCGATCTTAACGCTGGCAGTTTACAAGAAAAGCATAGAGTCAGCAGCTCACCATGGAGATGCACTTGCTGCTATTTCGTTGGGTATTACACGCCTTCATCGCATTTATAACTATTAGCTTAGAAAGAGAGTCTTGTCAGTGTTGTGACTTTTCTTTTCTTATTTTCTCACTCAAAGTACCACCTCTCGACTGGTATCAAAACTGCTGAGAGTTTCTTTAGCAACGAAGGCCTAACGGAAGCGGAGCAGGTAGTCGTCGAGGACTACGTCAGGCAAATATAATGAGCGAGGCTGGTCCGCTGCTTTTTAATTTTTTGGTCGGTGTCCACAGCAGTATGGTGCCTCGAGTCATCACGAACGAGATGTTTTGAATGCACCACGATTCAATAAGTTTTGGCGGTTCAGTTGGTAGACTCCATATTTATTAACAACTAATCACATACAACATGACTACAACTACTGATTATAAGCGACACATACGGCTAATAACATGTTTGTGCTTTTGCCACTTGTGAGTTGACTGACATGTTAACTGTCTCTTCAAGTGGCGGCGAGTTCATCCGACGTGTTGTGGCTCGTTTCTCGTCTTGTCATTTCGTACTCATTTCTATGGTCATCTCGTAGTCGTAGAACCTGGGATAATCGGATTGCGTCGGGCTCCAAGGCTTGAATTGCAAAGGGTGCAAAACTGCAAGAAGACTGCCCCTGAGGGCTCGGAGCGCCATATTTATATTATAGTACCGGCTCTGGGCGGTATAAATACCGGCTAAGGTGGGCGGTATGAAGACCTCCCACCTTGTTACCATTGGTTAACCACGAGTGGTGAACGTGTTTTGAAAATATGTTTTTGCAACCTGTGCATCCTAATCATCATGACCGAGAGTCATGACACGAGGTCGCCCCCCGAACTAATCTCGGTCATTTTCCTCCAACAGTTTTTTCTGAAGCAGAACGGGGCAAATGGTAGCGGTGACCGTGTGTTCTTACAGACAGGGCACGCCTTCGTGTTGTGATCATTTTGCCTACAATACCTCCAGTTGGCTTAGAGACTTTGGTACGCTTCCAAAACGCATATTTTTGCCAGGGATATCAGGAAATAATTCGATGGGCGCCAATGGGCATGACCTCCGCCATGCACAGCGCTTTCACGCAGAGGTAGGAAGGTGCAATTTCTAGAAAGTGCTTCCTCCGTGCAAGTAGATGTGCTTCTGCGATAGAAAGGTCCGAAGTGTATTTCTATCTGTTTATTGATTCATGGCGGATTTCACTGGCGCGGTGGTGGTGTATTGACAAGTAGCGCGCTTACCAGATGCTCCGATGTCGGGTCCAAATCACTAGTCGACTCCCGCCCAGCCAACCAAGCCTTCTACCTTCCGGGGACGGTGAACCTGGAACCAGGTTTGCCTTGGAAAGCGCTGACTTGACATCGGCTGGCCTCTACAAGTGATTGTATAGGCCACACCGCATTCAATAAGCTACTGCGATTCTGAATGGAAGTGGAATGCGTGCCGCATCTCACGAAAGGGGTGGATCAACGACGGGGACATTCATCCTTCATCTTTTTTATTAATTCATGACGTCTTTGTGAGCGCTATCGTATTTCTGTCATCCGCCGTTCCTCACTTCTGCGCTGATCAGGTTGCTTCTTGTCTTGTGTGGGCCACTTCAGGGGCTCCTCACATGGAATAAGTCTTCATCATTGAACTAACGACATCTGGGTATCGCTGCAACCTCACTTCAGAAAAGTCCCCGCGCTTAACGAAACCTCCCTCCCTAGAGGTCATATACGACCCCCCCCCTGTTTGTGATGATCACAACGATCGCGTGCCCTGCTTACAGGGAAGCTCGCTGTGCAGCGTTCCCCTCGCTTCCCAAGAGGAGCGCATGAGAACCTTTGCAGAATTCCGCGTTTTACCTGCTGCGAAGTGTCTTCTCCTGAGAGAGCACACACGATGCTGTGTGGATTGAAGTTACAGAGAAACCAAATCTCATTTCACTTAGCAGTCTCTTAGAAACCCCTTCTCACGTTCTTTTGGAGAAGCGGAGACTGACCAAAGGGTGCCCACGTGCACAGTGTGTCGAGAGATTGCGGGTGTTAGCCTCTAAATCCCCTGACTGCTTCGAAAACGGTGAAGTCTGCCACTTCTGGGGCGTCCCGACCGAGGTTGTCTTCGAGGCTCGTGTCTCCTTTTGCGAAGCGGGCGATGCGAGCCAGACGTGGATAGCCTTGACAATAGTTGTGTCCTTCCTAAAGCACTATTGATGTCGTTAATAGCTTGCGGTCACTCCAGTGCCGCAGCACCGCTCAAGAAACAATGACTCGAAGTTGTTGCCAGAAACTGACATTGTCAATAAATCCAGAGGAAACCGGGTGCCTTGATGTACCTCATGCGTGAGATTTCTTACAATGTTCTACAAGCATAGCAGTTATGCCATGTTGGAGTATCAAGAAACAAAAAGTGTAGGCTACTTAAAAAAACACTGACAGGACCTTCTTACCTGCCTAATATATGATTCGCCGACATATGGGTGTAGTGTCTAAAAGGATGCGGGAGCGACGACTCCTGTGATCTGGCCACGTCTCGCGCGCCGCGGCTCATGCCATCGCTGCCCCTGCGTATCTGCTTTAATCAGACGCAGCGCAGAAGAAGGCCTACACAGCACACTGGCAAGGACATGAATCCGTGGTAGGTACAGAGAGGAGACACTGCACCGCGCAAAACATTGATCAATGATCCGGAAAGTAGATGCCGCATCAGTTGGACAACATCAAGAAGAAGATATACTTTTCTGATACCAAGGACTACATCTGTTTGCACGTTCAAGCGACAAGTGGAAGTTTCACCTTTCCACAGCGCTTGCATGTGAGCAGCGCTGCGCAACACGAAGGCAAAATCATTAGACACCGAATGGACCCCTTTCCCATTCACTGTGACAACAGGTTTGTTCTGTAATAGAAGCATACTCACCTTTTAAAATGAAGTTTTACTGTGTCATCGCAGTTTGTTTTTCGAACGGCTCGAAAAATTCCACGACAACTTTCTTACATAGAAATGTTTGGACAACTCGTTTCTTTGAAAAAGCGAACTAGTGCTTCGCAATTTTGCTTTGTTTCCCATAACAACTCCAAAACGAAGGAAGCTGCAATCGGTTAGGGAGAGATCGCTTTTCGCCCATTTCGCATATTTCCGCGAGGCATTTTTCGTGGCTACGGTAGGTAGCCCCGAGACGCGAGTTCGACGATTCTCAGATTCCCTTCGTTACTACTTAAAAACTTACAGTCACAAGCACTACTGCTTATTACACAGAGTTACTGTAAGTTCATGTGATTTCGCTGTGGTTTCACTTTCATCTCACAACGATTGCATTAGACGGCCGTAAATCGTGTGACGGGTGAGTAAATGTTGAAGAGGGAGGGGAGATCCACGTAGTTCTACATCACTTCGCCACTAACTGCTCCATAGCTTCTTAATCAATTCTAAAATGCCTTTGATAAGAACGAACTGCGCAGCAATCCGAATAAGTCCGGGCGTTGGTTATAGGATGCAGGTAAAAGCATGGGAAAATATCGTTACTGCGGAACACTATCGTTTGTTCAACCCCCTTGTATCTACTATTGGTTGTAAATATTGGAGTTCAGTTCGCAAACAACTTGCAGACAAGTCCCGCGGGTAATAACCGCGGGACTTGTCTGCAAGTTCGGGAACTTACCACAGAACGTGGAATAGAGACCTAGCTAAGTCGATAAGGACTGGAATGTTGCTCACAGCTATGGGAGCCAAAGTCGCTTTCTTCGTCTCACGAGCGACTTGAAGCAGGCAATCCCCCCAATCTATCGAAAACTTTACCCGGGTGCCTCATGGCCAGCGAACGTTTTTGTTGCATCCGAATGTTATATCCGTATTGGGAGTATCGTGTTCAAAGTCTCTTAGGGGCGAAGTTACAGAGTTGAAATATTGACTCAATTTTTGAAAAATTTCAGAGAACGGGAAACAGTGCTCTCACACCTTATTACAGAGCAGCTCCTGATTTTGTCTAACGAATCCCATGTGAATGAAGAAGCGAGAATGTTTGAAACTTCAAAGTAATGCATAGTCAAATTGCGATTACTTGGGGGGGGGGGAGGGTAACACGGACACGGCTACTTTCCACAAAGCGATGACAAGCTCTGCCTCCGAATCTCCTTTTCCTATCAGCCGAATCTCCTGTTCCTCAAAATGGCGAGGTATGAACGCGGTTTTGTTACAGCTACTCTGGAACAACCTGCCTTACACATCTATGAAGACTGAATGCAATATAATCATGGTTTCTGTTTTAGAACCACTGTCGGAAAATATCGGATTTCACCTTGTATGAAGATCTCAGCAGACCACATTCTCCTGCGCAATATAGGTATGCTCATTTGTCTGTTGATGTTGATTTTCACAGAGAATCCTTTCACATTGCTGTGGTACTGAAACTTGCGTGGAAAGTGGTGTGCTGCCTAACACTACATTCATATTGAAATCACGTTTTAGGGTGAATCAGGTGTTGCCAAACTTTCCTGGCTTTGCCGAAGCTTTTCACTGCTCTCCAGGATCCAAGATGGTTTCAAAGGATCGTTGCTCCATTTGGTGAAAAACCAGCAAAACTGTACTTGAAACTACTAGAAATGAAGCACTTGCTCCAATCAGTGATCGCACCGTTACTTCTCCTGCTAGGCTTTCGTGCTGGAAATACGTTCTGCTAACCCCGGCTTTCGTGCTGGAAATACGTTCTGCTAACCCTACTGACTTCTACTGTAATGCTGTCTGTGAATGAATATTTTATGAAATGAAGCACTTGCTCCAATCATAAAATCAGCTTTAGAAATGAATGCGGATAACAGAAAGAGGCGTTGCTGCATCTTGGATTCCCTATGTTCAAACAATGCGTTAAAAGCTAGTTCCTCAAACAAATAAGCTATTAGTGTACCTCCTGTTTTGATAGTGATCGCACCGTAACTTCTCCGTGAAACGCTTCTATTCCAGTCATGAAAACCACTGCATCTGTTCCCCAGCAACTTTCCCCAGAAGCGGATTCGAAATTCTAGCCGTTTGGGCTCAAAGGCGATGCGATGGGAAGCGTAGAAAGCGAAAGAGTAGTGGCCAGGAGAGCCGTGAATAAAGATAAAATGCAAAAGGAAGTAAGGAACCATCTAGCGTGAGCGATTATACAAGGCGATAGACCGCGTGTTGTGATGAGTCCACTCATTTGATTCCATAATATGAACCCAACGAGTCCTAGGTCGCACTCATTTCTAATCTTTCTCGAGCTTCACTTTTGGTTTCTTCACACTAAGGTGTCGGGTATGTATCTGTCGAAGTACAAGGTACTACAACTATCCACGCGTATAATTTTAACACGTTGACGACATTCTGAGCCATTGACATTTGTCGTTGGCGTGGTATGGCACCGGGCGCCACTTTGGCACCAGCGATATTTTTGACACCGAATTCGATAGTTTTCTACACCTAGGTATAGATGTTTCCGTCGAATATCCTTCTATTCGATAAACCAGTATCTTTGTGTGGTCGGTCTTGCTATGTATGTATGTATGCTATGCTCCTGTCCGTCCGAAAATGCTTACACGGTTCGAGTTCGCTGGAGGAAGAAAAAACGACCCCTGCTAACGCAAACCGGAAATCGATTGGTGCGGGGAAGTATCAATCCAATTTTTGATCGTGATAATTGCCGGCCGCTCCGCTAATAAAGACAACCTTCGTAGGCTCGAGCCATTGCAGCGAGCATGCTGGCGTGCAGCATGGACGTGTGCTCAGTGCGGGGGCAGGGTGCGGGTGGGGCCCGATGGGGAGGGGGGGACGCCCCAGCTGCCCCCCCCTCTGCTCTTCCCTGCGCCTGTGCTCAGCCCCATAACTGATCACTGCGCAACGGGTAAAGGAGCAGCACCGCAGACGGTCCGACTGAATACTGGGGGCGTTGGTCTCTACAGGTATGATATTAGTTACGGGCGCAGCGAATATGTGTGACTGACAAGAACTGCCTGTGGCTGATAAGCGGGAATTAGAGTGGAAAGGACAACATACTCATACCGCGCGGGAACATGAAAAAAGGCATCATAGGCCCTTGATTTCAGCAAAATGATAGGAGAAGGCGACGGCGGGTGACGGGTAGAATGATTAACAGCTGATAAGGCTTCTCTGATAGAGATAAGATGCTAAGCCGTATGTTCAGATTCAAAATGTGGAGCCTCTGCGCGAAATTATGGAGTTTTGGTAAATATCGACATTGACTGGACGGGTGACAACAATTTTTAATCAAGTGATCAAGCAAATGATAAGGGGACAATCTGCACGACATCTCCTAAACCACTACAACGCCAAAAAAGCCTCTCAGCAAGCGAAATTTTCGCCACAAGTCCACACTAACTCTGATAGCACTGGAAACTAGACTGCCATCCCACTAGGGGGGGTATACTACTTCGCGCTGAAACATGGAAGTTTGGAAAAAATCAAAAGCTCCAATATTGGAACACAACTTTATCGTTCAGTGAGCTATCAAATATCCTTGTTTTGCTTTTAACTTTTAAACACTGCTTAGACCGTATAACCGATAGTAAGTTGTACGACTATTCAACCTGAACATATTGTCATCTGGGCAGGCCCATTTCATGCTAACATAGCAGGTGACTTGCATGATTAATGACAAGTCAATTGCCATCGTGTGCTGTTGTGATGGGCAGGTAATAAACGGAATTTTGTTCATCCTACTGGCAACCATATTGATATTCTGCTACTTCCTATTCTATTTCTGAGATCGGTACGTGAGCAGAATGGGCCAAAACCTACACGCTTCCGCAACTCTGACGGGTGCAGATTTTCGCTAGGTTACACTGTCTATTAGTTTGACGTCACTGACTCCCTGCTGCGACAAAACATGAGGGCTCAGTCTCCATCTGTTCAGGCAATTAACCTAATTCCATCCCGTCATTGGATTGTGTCGCCTCGGCGAAGCCCAGCGCCAGTCTCGCGACGAGCCGAGCTCCATAAAAGAAAGGAGGAGAGCTCGGTCAGCCGGCGATCCAGAACTGGTACATAATAGATTGTAAAACCAAGCAGAAAATCCAATACGAAAATTTCTTAGACAGACAGAAGTTATGGCACATTATCTGGTTCATTTTGGCATATCACAGATCGCGGCTAAAAAGTGGGCGTGAACGCAGAGCGAGGTGGTGCACTGAAGGTGGCATTTCAATAGGGCCTCAAGTGATTGGTTGAAAAAGCAGCGTTCTCCTTTCCCACGATATGCCTAAGCATTTGCTCGCAAAATGCATAGCGGCAAAAAATCGGCACGAGGGACACACCTGAGCGCCAGCAGGTAGCTCAGGGCGGACGCGATGCGAAAACGGCACGCTCAATTCAGTTGCCAATCGTGTGCGCTTTGTCACCCCCAGCACACGCGATTGCGTCGTCAACGCCCGGTGTTAAATCGTCCAAGGCCGAAAGAGAGAAGGCCAGGTTTTCCGTGCGAAACCCTTCACAGAATACTGGAGGCAAAATATCAGTTCTCTCATTATCGGTTAAATTCCGGCTAATGCAGCGTCCTGACGTCACCATCATGTTTCTCGTTGCGTTCGAATAAAATTTAATCTATGTAATAGTTCGCCTCATGCACAAACCAGACGACTATATTACAGGTTAGGGGAAGGGGCAAAAAAAGACCTACATCCGACCATTTCTGGGCGCCTTCTATAATCCTCCCTCTCCAAACACGACCTTTCAGGCCCGATACAATAAATCAGCAAGGCGGACACCCTTAATGACCGAACTTCTAGATTGGACATTTGCCACCGCCATGCTTTCATGGGCAACACACATCTTGTACCACTATACCATACCGCCAAGCCCTCTGACGACGCCACCTTGAGAGATCATACTTGCCACGCGAATTCAGGCCTGAGTTCAGCGAGGTCGATGATTCCTCCACCACTATGGACCACCCCTGTTCAGGACTCTGCTGCCAAGCACAGCGTACCCAGGCGCCAGGTGTGAGCTCCCTTGGAACAATTTCCGTTCTTCTTCGCGGTGGCCACGTCCTGTCAACTTTTCAAGTAGAGAGCGAGAGTCTTTTCCAACTCCATTCAATTAACATGTGTCGGCACCCCTAATCCCCGCAGCAGTGACTCAAGTTTCTGAGCACGGTACACGGGCGACGGACATGAAGCAGGATTAAACTCCCCGAATTGGTCGATGTAAACGTCAGCGGTCACCTTCAGTCTGGGGTCCAGGAAGAAAACATCTGTCTCCTCTTTCTGGTACTTCCGGTCCGTACCGTCAACCCCCGCCTAGGCGACTGCGGTGAAGATGATATCCTGGAGCGTAGCGACGTCGTCGGAGCCACTCGATGTTGGGGGGTCTCCCACATCAAGAGTGCTGTCCCCAGGTAGCTGTCTATGGGTGACTCGATTAAACAAGTTTCGCAGCTTTGGAGGTGACGCGAATTCCATAGCCATTCTCCAGCCAGGCTGCGATTAGAGATGGCTCCATATATGGGTGTTCAGGAAGGTTGTGGAAGAGGGCTTGCTCCTACATATCGAGGAACATCTTGAGTATCTTCCGCTCAGTTACATATCCACTTCTTCTATCTGGGCTACGTATTCTTTCTTGATATATGCCTCTGGCGAAGTATCTTTTTTTGGTCCCCCTGTGTAGAAGAGTGGAAAATGGCAGGAATGCAAAGAGACCACGGCTGCAGGCTGCCATATTGTTGGAAAGCTGGTACCTCCAGCTGAGTGCCCGTCAAATTTGGTTATCATAGTCAGATAAGAAAAGCGAGAGAATTCAAAAATAGATCCGCGTTGTCAAAACCAGAGCCAGATTATGGAACCGGGCGTCGCGATGGGGAAGCGCGCTGCTCACATTTTTTTCTGCCTCGCCAGTAGTTGCGTGTAATGTTGTTGTTAGTTCCTTTGAGCGAAATATGACATTTGCTTCAGAAGCTCAAAGGAGGAAGTATGAAAAACCTTATGGCCGAGGAGGGCCCCATAATGTTCATCTTGCACAAGAAAAGCGGGAAGATAAAGCAAAGCTCTGATTGCCTGGTCACAGAGGCTAGAGCGTTGTCGAGCTAGTTTTCGAGACTGGCATCCCTGCTGCAACTCTTCCCTGAGGTACGCCTGAAAAATCGGGGATGGTCAAGGTGATGTTTGCTTAGGTGCCTCATTTTCTTACAGAAGCACGACCGCACAACCGAATCGACGCAAGCAACAGCAACGTTTTCCGCCTAAGAGGTCGTTCACGACTGTGAAAATGCACCACCTCTCTGGACGAAATAAGGATCAGTGATAACTGGTACGTGATCGCGACCTCAAATTTAGGGAGTGGCTCGCATCTGGATGCGAGACAGCTTCATCGATGTGAGAAAACTTGGCGGCTAGCTGCGAAGAAACCTCATTAACGAGGAAGGTCATCCAGGTCATGCGCGTTTTTTGAAAATGATTGTTGCATGTTGTAGGGGTTCATGTAAGGATTACAAAATTGGTTCCATTTTTGCTATGCATTCCTGGGGATGTCAAAAAATGAGTGAAAAGTTTGCTAAGGAGAAGCCATTTTGAGCCATTTTATTAGGCTCGTTACTAA